CTTGTCCTGGGCCAGATTCGCAAGCGGCTCGATGGCAAACCCGAGCGCCTCGGGGCCGCCAAAGAATGCCAAGGCCAGGGCGGCGAACTCCTCGCGCCCGACCTCGCCAATGTTTTCCGCACGGAGGGCCTGTAGGAGCCTATCTGTCAGCACCCCGAGGCCGCCGCCGGCCTTGGCGAGGGCGATGAGCTCTTCGAGCGTGCGGCCTGAGGCTATGGCCGCGAGCGCATTGCTGCGGACCTGCTGGTCCGGGATTTGCGTCAAACCCAGCAACAGGCCTACAACCGCCTCCGCCTCGCACCTGCTGCCGCAATCGATGCAGGATTTGGCGTGAGAGATCAGTTCCATGCACGGTGCGTTGGCTTGCAGCTTGGAGCGCCACCCTCTTGCAGCCGGTCCTGCAGCTTGCAGCGCCACCCTCTTGCACTCCAGCGCGACCTTCAAGGAGCTCTGGAAGTAGTCATCGGTATTGAAAACTTCAAACGGTCGGTCGTAGATGTCGCGGAGAGCCTTTCCGAGCACTTCCTGGATTTTTGCGACGTGCTCGTCTTTGAGCTGTGGCCGTGCTTCCCTCTCCGCCTCCCGCTTCATCTCGCGCTTCGCCTCGTCCTGCAGGTTCCGGCACATGTCCTTGACCACCTTCAGGGGGGCAAGAAACGGCATAAACATAAAGACTCGGAGGTCCGCGCGGATTCCTCGGATCGGCGCTGGCGCCACCTGGCGGCGCCTCCGACGCCTGGGGTCCAGCGCACCTCCAAGTTGTTATGTTTATGTCATTGCTTCTTCCCCGAACCTTGCGCCTCTTCCCGATCACCTCCTCGATAGTCGAGCAGGTGAGATTGAGATTCAGGCGAAGGGAGACCACCAGGACCTTGTCCTCGACAGATGTGCCGAGAACTTGCATGCTGGTCAGGGGCGGGAAACACATTTCCTTTTCATGTGGGTACTGCGAGATCCAGCTCAGCTCGGCGCCCCTGTCGATCATGCCGGTCTGGATCTCCAAGACGGTGCCTGCGCTCTGGCCCGACGCGTACTGCATGGCGACTTCACGGTCCGTGGTTGTGCTCATAAATCCGTATTCGATGCCGCCCTTCACCCCGGCGTCGTCCTCCTTCCAAAATTGTTTCGGGAGACGGCCGTCTTTGGTGCCGCGCATGACGGTGCAGGCCTTGGACGTCTTGCTGGCCTTCACAAGCGCTGAGGCCAATACGTGGATGGTTGTCGCGTACCGATTCACCGCGACTTCTTTGCTGCTGCCTGGATGGTCTCCGCCGTCTCCGCACAAACTCTGGAACCGGTCGCGCATGACCTTGCTGGGCTCGCGCTCGCACTGCAGAGGACCCCCGCGGCACACGGCGTTGTATTTCTCGAACAGAGGGCCCGAGTACAGACACAGAGCGACGGCCTCAGCCAGCAGCAGGGGCTTCTCCCCAACCTCCCTGAGCTCCTTGTTCTTTTCAGCCAAGCCACGTAGGATCTCCGCTCGCTTTGTGGACCGGGGGTTTCCAGTATTTTTCGTCTCATCTGGCCACTGCAGCCTCAGCGGCGGGTCCACCCCCAGATGCACCGGTTCCGGGAGCTTTTCGACCTCCTCCTTGAGCTTCTTGACGTGCTGGTCCCAATCGGCCACTTCTTCGTTCGTGGCTCCAAGACTGCAGGTGTCCTTCAACTGGTCGAACACGTCCTGGAGCACCAGGAGGAACTCATTCCTGGACGTGGTGGTAATGCCATAGTTTCCCGTCTCCCACTCAGACTTGGAGTCCACATTTTCGCAGTGGTCGTAGACCATACCTTTGAGGACGTCTGGATTCGGGGAGCCGATGCGGAACTCCAAACCCTGGAAGAAATCCGCCTTCGTGCCGAAGTCGAACTCGAACCCCCCGTCGGCAGCGAACTTCTCGTTCAGGGCCGCGCCTGTGGCGGCTGCACTGTCCACGAGGGCGACGCCGCGGTCTACAATGGCGCTGGCAAGCTCGAGGCTGATGCCGTTCTGGTCCAGCTGGTGCGCGATGGCGCGGCGGGTCGCTTCTCGGTCCTCCTTGCCTTTCCGGCCCACGGCCGTGATGAAGGCGAGGGGGCCCACCGCACGTGAAAGCTCCTGGGGCACCAGTGCCTCGGCCACGGCGGCCACGGCGGCGGTACTGCCGAGCCACGCCTCGAAGGAACAGGACACGACATGAGCGTTGTAAACTTTCGGATGCCCGCGCGGAATCCTTGGGTCGGCGCTGGACCCCCCTCCCCTGGCGCGCGGAACGCGCCAGGGGCGGCACCGGAGGCGCCGCCAAGGGGGGTTCCAGCGCCGACCCAAGAAATCGGCGCGGACCTCCCGAAAGTATATATTTCTTGGGGAGGGCGAAAAGATAACCATATCCGAGACATCCAGCTGCTCCAATTTTTTCGATGCGTGGGCCCTGAAGGTCCAGACCACTTCCCCGAGACCAGTTTTGTTCGTCCTGAATTGTTGTTCGACGCTCTAGAGGCCCGGCGACGGCCCCCGAAGGCCGAAAACTGACAAAAACCGCCTGCTCCAATTCTTTTGGAGCGTCGGATCCCAGGGACCGTTGCCCCCCAGCCCCGGACCTCTCCTGGCCAGCGTTCCGACCAGAATTCCGAGGCGAACCCAGCCGTGGCGCCGAGGGCCCCCCAGGACGATCAACGGCATCGGCATCTTCTCCTCCGCCAGGTTTGGTTCTTCCACTCCTCGAGGTTCCAGTCGGGGCACTCCGCGTCAGCAGCGGTCTCCCAGCTGCCGACGAAGCTGCCGCGCCCGTGGGGCTTCCCGTCCGTGCCCATTCGCCGCTCCTCTTCGGCGGCGCGCAGGGGGGGGCGGGGGCGAGGGCCGAACCTCGAACGTCGAGGATCGAGGCACTGCGAGGCATTCCAGCCCTCGAGGGCCCTCCTCCTCCTCCTCCTCCTCCTCCTCCTGCTCCTCCTCCTCCTCCTCCTCCTCCAGCCCTCGGGGGCCCTCCGCGCCGCCACGGCTGGACACAGCTCGAGCAGCAGCTGGCCAGAGCCTGGACCTTCGGAGGGGTCTGGCGACTCGGGGGGGGGGGAGCGCGCGAGGGCCAGCCTCCGGAGACGGCGGGGGGCCTCTTAGAAGGCAGGCGGCGTCTTGGACCCCCCCTTAGGCGTCTTGGAAGGCAGGGGGCGCCTCAGAAGGCGGGGGGCCTCTCAGCAGGCAGGGGGCCTCTTGGCAGGCAGGGGGCCGCTGAGAAGGCAGGGGGCGCCCGAGCCCCTCCGAGAAGCCCTCGAGCCCTTCCACGAGGGGCCCCCCGCCTCCCGAGCGCCCCTCCCCCCCCCCTCCCCCGCCTTCTCGCAAGGCCGGCCCCCATCGCCCCGCCCTCCAGCCCCGAATCCGCTCCCAACGAGCCTCCCTGACCCAGACATCCGACGTCTCGATCCTTTCGAGACACGGGCACCCGACCTCCCGACCACTTCCCCAGGCCCGGCTTCTCATCCCGAATCGTTGATTGACGGCCCCGCGGCCCGGCGAGGGCCCCGAGAGGCCGAAAACGACGACCTCCGTCAAGATTTTCTCGAGACGCCCGATGCCTGGGGACCCCTCCCGGGGTCCAAGCTGACCAGCCGTTCGAGCCGCGCCCAGCCGCGACGACGAGGGCCCCCGAGGGCGGGAGCGCCCTGCACCTCGGCCCCGACCCTCGCGCCCGGCCCCCCCCCCCGGACGTCCGGCTGCCCCGACGTTCCCGACAGGTGGGCCCTGCCCAGACCACGGGCGCCTCGAGAACATCGAGACGGAACCTTTCCGCAGTTCTTGGCCTCTCGGGGCCCTCGCTGGGCCTCGGGACCGTCACAGAACGGCTCGGGATGAGAAGCCGGTCCCAGGGAAGGGATCCAGACCGCTGGGGGTCGACGTTCTGAAAAAATCACGACGTCGGGGGTCTGGGACCACTTCCCCGGGACGGGCTTTTTGTCCCGAGTCGTTGTGTTGACGCTCCCGAGGCCTGGCGACGGCCCCCGGAGGCCGAGAACTGTCCAAAACCGCTGCTCCAACTTTGTTGGAGCGTCGGATCTCGGGGCCTCCCTCTGCGCGCTCGCCGCTCCTCCCCGGCCGCGCGCTCGACGATGTCGCGGAAACGCTCCGCGTCGACCGACGGAGCCGACCGTTGTGGGGAGCCAGCCTGCGCCACCTCTGGCCCTGAGGGCGCTGCCAGAGCCGCCCTGTCGGCCGCGGGCGCCTGCAGCTCGTCGTCGAGGCCCTCGCGCTCCCCGGAAGCGGTGCTGAGGGAATCCTCGTAGACCACGCGCAGCGACTCGGCGTCGAGGGGTTGGACGGCGCCGCGCTCGGCGCCGCCTGGCGGCACGCGGTCCTGGAGCACCCGAACCTTGTGGGGGATGCGCTCGTGATCCACGGTGCGCTGCACAACCTGCGACGCCGTAGCGCTCTGCTGGCTTGGACCGCTTGGTGATGTCGGGCTTCTGCTGGGCGGCATCGATTGGCTGCCTTCTCCCAGGGCGGCCTCGCAGTCGGTGGTAATGGCCACCTTCACAGGAAACAAGTTTCCGCCGCCCTTGTCGGCGAAATCTTCCGAGAACGCCCAGGCTCCATAGCACTGGCACGCGGTGTCCACCAGGACGAGGCTTGTCTCGGGCACCTGGATGCTGTGCAAGAACGTGCAGAGATCGGCCGCACTCTTCAGCAGGCAAATGTCCTCGATCCCACGCCCTGCTGCGCTGGCTGCGCGCACCAGCTCGGCCTCCTGAGGATCGGAGTCGTCCACCCGGATGTACCACTCGTCCTCGTCGTGGGCGCACTTCTGGTGGATGCTCTCCGCCTTGGCCTCGGACTCCGGGCTCAGTGGCCCCTTGGCCCGTGCGCCATTGGCTGGCTGCGGGAGTCTGGCCGCTGTTGCTGCCATAGCGCCCCGGTTGCTCGAGAGGCGTGCGGCGGCCTTGGGCGAAGGCTGACTGCTGGCGCTGGGCCGGCTGCTGGGCTGCGAGGGGCGGGGCGAGTGCGTGCCCGCAGGCCTGGCGCTGGCAGGGCTGCGGAGGTCGAGGACTTTGGGCTGGCCGCTGGACTGCGACGGGCGGGGCGCGCGCGCGCCCGCGCCCGCGGGCTTGCGGCTGGCGAGGCCGCCGGCGGTCAGGTCGGTGGTGCTGGTACGCGCAGCTGCCTGCGGCGCGTCGGGTTTACCCACGGGTGCCTTAGCGGGCGAGCTAATAATGCAGTGAATCATCTCGTGACAGAGGGGGCCGTCCGCCAAAGTGCCGCGAGGTACTTGGTGAAGTGCCCTCAGATCCCTTCGCGTTCTCTGTGTAGAATAAATAGATGGTGAGCACTCTTCAGGGGCCCACATCCCCAACTCACTGGATTTCTGGGGCCTCCAGCAAGACTTTTGCCGAACCCCGCGTGGCTTTTTCAGCGGCTCTGGTAGCGTAGTTCGGGACATGCGCTTCCAACATGACCAGGGCCCGTCCTGGAGGCCGCTCGGGGCCCTCCTGGACATTATTGGAGGCCCTCGGAACTGGCCTAAGAAGACAACATCGTGCAAATCATGAACGTTTTGCAAACGCCCAAGACGGCCCAAGAGGCCCAAGAGGCCCCCAATATAGACCCAAGACGTCCCAAGAGGCCCCCAAAATAGACCCAAGACGGCCCCCAAGCTCCCAAGAGAGGCCCGAGAGGCTCCCAGGAGAGTCTCAGGAGGGGCTCAAGAGGGGGAGCCCGAACTGACATTACGATCCCTCCACCTGACGAGTGTCTGTGGGACCGCCAGCAGCTCCCCAATGAACCCCACAGTGGCCTCCGAAGAGACCCCGCGAGACATCGAAGAGGCCTTGGGTCCATAATCCAGTCACGGTGGCGGGCCGGGAGAAGGCCACTGGATCACGAGATGTCCCAACCCCTGTGCTTCCAACGGGAGAGGTTGGCGTGACAGATTGTCTTGCTGTTTTTTGTTCTGCCCTTCCGAAAGGTTCCCAATGGCCTTCGGCCCAAGGTGTCGGCCGCCGGGAATACCTCCCAAATCTAGAAAGCCATCGTCCAAGATGGCCAAGGTGGCCTCCAAGACGACCCAAGAGGGTCCAAGACTCCAAGAGACCTCCGCGTTTGCCCGAGATGCCCCCCAAGACGGCCCAAGATAGCCTCAAGACTGCCCAAGAGGCGCCCATGGCAGCCCAAGCGGGCGTCAATTCGGACCTCCACGAGGCCACGAGGTCGGAGATTGGGGGGTGAGATCGCAATGAAACGGAGACCCCCCCCGGGAAATCGGTTTCGGTTTCGGTTTCGTGTTCGTGTCGTGCGTGCGGGCGAGGCGAAGCTGCGCGTGATCCTCCTGTAGCTAGGCCGAAGTAGGAGCGAAAGTCCGTTCCCCGTGCGCTGGTGGCCGGGAATTGTCCCAGTTGGGCTGGGCGGTGTCCTGGGTATCCCGGGTTTCAATAGGAGCGAAAATCCGTTTCCCGTCCGCCGGTGGCCGGGAGGTGTCCCAATTGGGCCGGGCGGTGTCCAGGGTGTCCCGGGTGTCCCGGGCGTCCCGGCGCTAACGCATGTCGCTAATTTCATAGTTCATTTTTTTTTCCGGCGCTTGCGGCGGAGACAGAGAGAGAGAGAGAGACAGAGAGAAAGAGAGAGATGAGATCAAGGTGACAGGCTGGAGGTCAGTCAGGGAGGGCATTTGATCTCAATCCCCCCCCAACCTCCTTATCGGTGGTATAGGTAATCAAACTCATATGTTTTCTATGGCTTTCGCGTTCTCGTCTTTACGGACTTCCGAACGCCCCGAAGGCCACAGATGGCTCCGAAAGTGGCCCAAGACGGCCCGAGAGGGCCCCTGAGACGGTCCAAGATGGCCCCAGGACAGACGGCCCCCAGACAGGCCAAAGACGGCCCAAAAGGCCCCAAGACGGCCCCCGAGGGTCCGAGTATTGCTCTGAAGAGCCCCAGGGTGTCCTCAAGACGGACCAGACAGGTATCCAAGACGGTCTCCGAAGACGGCAGGCGGGGCCCGATAGCTTCCTGAGACGGCCCAAGAGAGCCCCAAGCTGGCCCAGAAGAGCCCCAAGATACCTCCTGGAAGGCCTGGACGACCGGAAACGGACTCCAAGAGATACCCGAGACGGCCCCAGAGGGCTCCTCACCGGTATTTCCCCTGTGGTGTCCCCAACGACTGGAGGAACTCACAGTCCACTGCGGCGCGTCCGTGTCGTGCCGGCTTCGGCGCTGGCTTCCGACACCGCGAGGATCATTCAGCCTTGAACGATCGGACGTTTCCGCAGCGTCAGATCTTTCGACACCGACCGGCTCTGGGTTGCCAGCGGCGCTCCACGCTCAACGCCCGCGGCGGGGCCGCCGACGGTCAGCACGACGCGAGCCTGCCGTGCCAGCGTGCGGGCAGGGCCCGCAGGGCGGAGGCAGGAGGGCAGCGGCGCCGTCATCCTCCGCGTACCTCCTGGGCCCCCAAGCGCTCCGACGACGACGACGACGACGAGGACGACGACGACGACGACGACGACGACGACGACGACGACGACGACGACGACGACGTGGACGACGTGGACGACGACCGACGACGACGTGGACGACGTGGACGACGACGACGACGACGACGACGACGACGACGACGACGACGACGACGAGGACTCGCTCGACTGCCGTAGCATGGCCGCACTTTCGCTCGACATTCCACCACACAGGCGCTTCCTCGACAAGGGCGGGGGGAGCGCCGGCGGCTCGCCGCAGGCGCCGGCGGCCATCGATCATTTACTCCAGGGAGCCGAAATCTCAAGGGGAGTCCAACCCAGAGGGCAGCAACAACGCTCGGCCTTCGCGGCGTCCAAGACGGCCCAAGGGGGCCCCCAAGACCGCCCCAAGACGGCCCAAGCGGCCCCCGAGAGGGTCCCAGCACGGCCCAAGAGGGCCCAAGACGGCCCAAGAGGCGCCCAAGACGGCCCCAAGATGGGGAGCCCGAACCGACAATTCGAGCCTTCCGCCCCAAGTTGCCCCCAGGAGGCCCCGAGAGGCCCCAAGAGGCCCCCCAGAAGCCCCCAAGGCACCCTTAGAGGCCCCAACACGGCCCCCAAGAGCTTTCAAAATTGCCTACAAGAGGCCCCCGAGAGGCCTCTTACGACATCCCAGCGAACCTCTAATAGGCCTATGACTCATGACCCAGGCACGGTGGCGGGATGGGCCGAAGGCAAAGGGCGGCGGTGATTTGCCGTGGGCGTAGTAGATAATGCCCACAGAGCCCGAGCTCAGCTACCCCCCCAGAAAAAAAAACAAGCGCGCGCCAAAAGAACCCGATGAATTCCTAAGGATTCCTACGGAATGGTGTTCTGGGAATGGATTCCTAAGGATTCCTAAGAATTCCTAAGGATTCCTAAGGATTCCTGGGGCTGCACTTTTGTCCGGATCTGTCCGGATCCCGCCCAGACCCCCCTGGGGCGTCAAGATGCTCTCTTTTGACCTCGCTAGAAACCTATCAGTCTTCGCTGTTAGGTAACAAGCACGCGCGCCAAAAGAACCCGATGACGGTTCAACACAACCCCCTAGGAACAGCAGGGTGCTCTTACCACGTCTGCACATCCGCGAAGAGCGTCCCGGATCGGCCTCACAGGCCGAGGGCCACTGCAACCACGGGGAATCCAACCCAGATGGCAGCAATAACGGTCGGCTTTGCTGCGCCTCTGGGCGGAAGCGTCATCAA